CATTGTCTTTCTTTTAAAAGTACCATCACCACCCAGTACCTTAGGAGACAAACTCACTGTATGCATTAGGAGCTATTAAAAAACATTCATGAAAAGCTGGGCGTGGTGGCACACGCCTTTAATCTCAGCACTTGGGAGGCAGAGGCAGGTAGATCTCTGTGAGTTCAAGGCCAGCCTGGTCTACATAGTGAGTTCAATGGACAGCTGGGGCTATAGGGAGACCCTGTCTCAAAAAGACCAAAAAAAAAAATTATGAAAAAAAATTCATGCTTTGTGTTCAATGGATCCACTTTTAAAAAGATACTCTTACAAAATTGGGCAAAGCTGTAGGCTAATGTTTATCACAGCATTATATATAAACCTGAAAACTGAAAGCTCAACAAAGAAACGGAAGCAGTTTAAATCACTTCAATCAAGCAACATGAGCTGCTTCTCTGAAACTATGAAAAGTATGTAACACACAAAAAAATGTTTTACAGTGATAAGCCAAAGGGGACGGGAGAACAGTTCTCTCAATAGGAATTTATGTATGGGAGCAAATTAATGTGGGAAGCAAAAGAAAATAGCTCTAAATGACAGCAACAGTATGAGGAGAGAGGTGACAGTTTTAGTTCACTGTCTTCACTTTCCAGTTTTGAAGAAAAAACTTAAGTCCCAGAATGAAAAGGGAAAATATATTACAAGAGAATTTATCTGAAGTTAAGGAAAAACCAGTCACTAGGAACATTTTTATTCTTGGTTGGCTTACATTCCCAGTAGATAAAAGTCATCAGATAGACAATGTGAAACACCTAGGAATATTTTTAAAACAAGTTTTATGGTCTTTTTCTTTTCAAAATTACTCAAACTTAATGGGACTTTACTCATCTTAAAAGCATGACCATATAGAAACAAAGTCTTAGAGGCTCCTGGGACCTTGCTCATATGAACTTTGGCAATGGGACAGCATGCACAAGACCCATGCAAATTCAAGCAAAGACCCAGCATAGAACTGTAGAAATGGGCAGCAGGCCCCAATCTTAGCCAAAGAACTAACTATTGGGCAACTGATTGCTACTGGGTGAGGAAGAGATGATTTCTTTAAGGGTGTGACTCTAGATAGGCTGATAAGACCCCAGTGGATGAACTTGCAGTGAGGGATGTCAGGGGCCACTAAATTAACTCGATAGGCCTTAACATAAATGACAGAATGCAAGAAATCTAGTGGTGGTGGGGGGGTGCTTTAAGAGGGTGTTGATGGGGAAGGGAGTACAAAGACAATTAAGATGTTGTGTATGAAATATACAATTCAATTAAAAATGTTTTAAAAAGATTTGTCTGCTGGGTATGGTAGTAAGCGCCTTTAATCCTAGCCCTGGGAGGCAGAGGCAGGTGGATCTCTGTGAGATGAGGCCACCCTGGCCTACATAGTGACTTCTAGCCGGGCTGGGACTAGGGAGACCCTGTCAAAAAAAAGAACAACAACAATAGCAACAAAAAAAAAACAACAACAACAAAAAAAAAAAAAAATGAAAGATGCATCTTGAGACTGGAGAGATGGCTCAGTGGTTAAGAGCACTGGCTGCTCTTGCAGAGAAGCCCGTTTCAATTCCCAGCACCCACATCGCAGCTAACAACTGTCCTAACTCCAGTTCCAAGTGATCTGACACCCTCTTCTGACCTCTGCAGACACTAGATGACACTGGGACACACTTGCACTTACACACATGCAGGCAATACACCCATACACATAAAATAAAAAAGTAATAATAATTGGGGCTGGAGAGACGGCTCAGTGGTTAAGAACACTGGTTGTTCTTGCAGAAGACCCGGGTTCGAATCCCAGCACCCACATGGCAGCTAACAACTGTCCATAACTCCAGTCCCAGGGGATCTGACAGCCTCTTCAGACCTCCACGGGCATTGCATGACCATGGGTGCACTTACCCACATAAGGGCAATACATGTATACACATAAAATAAAAATAATAAATAAAATTTAAAAAAATACTAATAAAATAATTTTTTAAGTAAACCTTTAAAAAAAGATGTGTCTCATTTCTGTTGAACAGTCTGTAGTTTTATGGCTGGCGTCTGAGATGGGAGAAAGCTTGTCTGATGTGAACAGGACATACGAATGAGGCAAGATACAGTTACCCATTTAGAAGGCCATACAAGAGGCAAAATCCTCCTCAGAAACCTTTTCTATAGCTATCTCAGTATGACTGAACACAGGCCTTTAAAAATCAGATGCTAAGTTGTAAATTAAAGTATTGGTGTTATTAGAGCTGTTAGGGAGTGGGTACTGCCTAGGCTTTTAAAAACTAAAAATACCTCCAAAGGAGTAGTACATTTAGTCTCAAACATCTTACTATTAACTCAATTATTAGACTAGAATTTTTTAGTCAGCATAAATAAGAAAACTCCCTGCAGCCATAATAGTGACATTAAAAAATGAACACAGGGGCCAGAAAGATGGCTCAGCAGTTAAGAACACCAGCTGCTCTTGCAGAGGACCTGGATTCAATTCCCAGCAGCACATGATAGCTAACAACTGTCCATAATTCCAGCTCCAGGGGAATCTGACACCCTCTTCTGATCTCAGTGGGTACTAATAAGAAAACTCCCTGCAGCCATAATAGTGACATTAAAAAATGAACACAGGGGCCAGAAAGATGGCTCAGCAGTTAAGAACACCAGCTGCTCTTGCAGAGGACCTGGATTCAATTCCCAGCAGCACATGATAGCTAACAACTGTCCATAACTCCAGTTCCAGGGGAATCTGACACCCTCTTCTGATCTCAGTGGGCACTGCATGACATGGGTGCACTTACACACATGCAGGCATTACATTCAATACACATAAAATAAAAATAAATATTTTTTTAAGAAAGAAAATGAACACAAAGCCCAATTTTCCCCCTTTTAAAAATTTTATTCTGTTCCTTATCTAAAGTACCACCTTACATGCCCTGAAATAAGACTTAGCTGGACTTTAACAGCTCTCAGTCAAAATCCTACTAACTTGAGTCTTCTCCCTGGATTAAGGAAGAGTCACCATGATTACCTGTTGGGCATTCAGTTGCTTTAATACCGGTAACAGCAATTCGTCTGTCTTTGTCCCGTTCCAGCCAAAATACCGCTGACAAAACATGAAGGTAGTTAAGACTTACAGATGATTGTAGAGACATAAGAAATATATTAAAAGGTCCAAGAACCAGCCCTTGATGTTATTCCCTGTATCTCCGAAGATAATTGTACTCATGAAGTTTAAAGTGGTCAAATAAAAGGCTGGTAAAACAAGTAAGCCCAGCACAATCATCCTGCGGTATGTTCTGATGATATCCTAAGACAGAAGACACTTGACAATTCCTTCCAGGACATCAAAGACTCCAGACTACAAAGCACAGCTAACCTAGAATAAAAGCAAGGGGCAGATAGCCTATGGATTTCTTTGAAACAGGAAGCTGTACTTAGATTAATTCTATTGTACGCATTGCAACAGTCATCCAAATTATTCTTTAAATGCACAGAATGGAAAAGCATCAATCTCTATTCTTTCAGAGTAATCCTTAAACCTGTGGTCCTTTCTATGAGTGCTACTGCTGCTGGTCCTTTCTCATTAAAGGGTTGGGGCTATAGCTCAGCGGTAGAGGCCTAAGTTTACTCTCAAGTACTGAAAAAATAATAATAAAACCAAGGAAAGAAAAGAAACTAAGAGGGCCTCAGATATATGGGATATGGGGAAAAAAAGTGATCCAGGTTCCAGGAGTTTTAAACACTAGTCTATGTATGGCTTGATATTCCCAGAAGTTTTAAGAAACAAAGGATATTCTCTAATCTTGACAAGATCAGGTTGCCCCCACAGAAACGATCCCTTGGAGTCATCCACCACAGGCCTGAGATAAGCATCAGCAACCGCTGGATTGGGGAAGCCAGGGGTCAGCTGCAACTTCCGTAGTTTCTTCTTCACTTTGGTGTCATGAGGATTGGGTGTGATTTTCTTATTTTTCTGAGCTTCTTGCCACCACTCTCTGTAAGGTAACAGAAACAATTATAAGGTAACAAGAGCTTGTAATTCTCATGCGTGGAAGAGAGAGCTAAAATACAAAGTTCTGGAATGTAATTTCAAGTCCTAATTCCAACACAAATTATATGTGGTACAGAGTAACTTTATTACTTCAGGTATTATTAGCTACAAGGTACAGATCTTGGCACCGTGTTAAATACTTCTAACAATCACACAGGCACAGTCCTGTTTTTACCCTCACCTCCCAGATGAGGAAAGGAAACCCCCACAGAACTGTGCTCAAGGTTTCACAGTGGGGACTGGCACTGTCAGGTGACAAACCTCCTCCAGAGCCCTCCCCTCGCTCCTAGTCACTGTAACTCAAAGTCACAACTTCTCCAGGGCTCCAAGCAGGGAAATGGAAGGTATGGTAGGTCCAGAAAGATGTAACAGCATGCAAAATGCCAAGAACATGATAAATGTTTTAAATGCAAGTATGATCCAGTAGAGAGGAGGCATGTATATACAAAAAAAGTAACCATATTCTAAATAATAAATAGTACCTAGAATGATTATTTTCCTGTGTGCAATGTTCCAAGCAAGAATACAGCTTTTCATTTTGCTTTTTCATATTTAATCCACTTTTAAAATTTATTTTTATTTTAGGTGTATGAGTGTTTTGCCTACATGTATGAGTGTACCATATGAATACAATGTCCACAGAGGCCAGAAGAGGGCACCTGATCCCCTAGAACTGGAGCTAAGGATATTTGTTAACCACCATGCAGGGTGTGCTGGGAACTGAACCCAGGTCCTCTGCAAAATCAGCCAGTGCTCTTAACTGCTGAGCCATCTCTCCAGCTCCACTTAATTCATTTTTCAACTTTTTTCCATCTTAATGATAATTTATTATGGCAAACTAAAGTAAGCCATACTCTTCTAGACACTCCTCCCATAAAGAAGTACGGTCAGAGGGATAGAGAGATGATTCAGCAGGTATGAGCAGACACTACTCTTGCAGAGGACCTAAGTTTGGTTCCCAGCACCCATGTCAGGAGGCTCACAACTGCCTGTAACTCCAGCTCCAGGGGATCCAATATCTTCTCCTGAACTCCACAGGCACTGTACTCACATACACATACCCATACACAAACACACATATAAACACATAATTAAAATAAAAAGTCTTTTTTTAAAAGGTCAGGTACAGTCTCATTTTTTAAAAAAATGAAGTCAGGGCTAGGCAGTTAGGGTAAAAAGACCCCAAAGGAAAGTAGCCAGTTTCTTGGCTAAAACTCACAATGTCCTTGGGACTGTTAGCAGCATACTCTGTTCCAAAGGCCAAAAATGTCAAAAGAAT